ATGCTCTGTTGATACGTTTGGTTCCTCATGCATCACTCTGTTCTCCCCTCTTCTTTTTCGCCATGACATGCAATCAGGAGATCGCATAATTTTGGAACCCCCTGCGCGTCACATATGTGACGAACCACTTCATGAACCCGTGCTATCTTTCGTACCCTTTCTTTTGCTTGTATCATACCAACCCCAGGAAAAACCCCGTTTTGATTTCTTGCTTTCGGGTGCCGCATTTTCCTTTTGGAGAGCTTTTTCGACTACTGAGTTCTGTTTTTCTTTTTGCAAAGTCGGGAAATACATGGGAATTTGCGCGCGCCTTAATGAGCGTGCTGGGAATTGGGCTCGGTAGTTGGGAATTCCGGGATAAGCGGAACTTCGACGTGTCCTTTTTGGGTGTGTGAATGTTCTTGGGCGCGTCGGGGAAAACTCTCGGAATTTTGCGTGAATACGAATAGGCGTAGGATTTTCTTTTCCCGCATCGCTTTTTCGCGCGCGGATATGGTGATTTCAATTTTGAATTAGGATAGGAGCAAGCTGTAACTGTTTCGGTGCCTTTTTCTTTTTTTCGTTGACGGCGCCGTGCATGCAAAAGCTTCCTCCTCTCTGTCCCCTGTATCGCTCCCTCCCGTGCCCTCTTTCCTTCTCCCTCCTCTTTCTCTCTCCCCGTAACTGTTTCTTTCTCTCTCCCCCTCACCCGTCTTGCTGTTTGCGTGCCCATTTCCCTTTCTTGATCGTCTGAATCTTGGACCCGTCTTGCGCCACCTGTCGCGCCTTTTCTCTTCTCACTCTCTGAGTCTGGCGCACGACGACCGGTCGATCCCCCGATAACTCCCGCTCGCCAATCAGGTGCGTGGATCGATAGGACCTACCTATCGCGCGACGGATCTGATTGGTTGAACCTTGAGTTCCGAGGGATCAACATGGCGTTCGTAGAGCAATCTTCTCAAAGTCTTCTCCTCCTCCTTCTCCTCTTACACCTCAGCTTTCCTGTCGCCTTCTCCCGCTTCTATCTCCCCTGTTGCAACTATAAAACCCGCAAGCACGTCCGCAAATCTCTCTTACGTTCTCGATTCCTAAGCCAGCTTCCGGGAAGCAATTGCTAGGCAAAGTGGATTCATGCTAGTCGGAAAGTCCTGTCGGGCTGACGATAGGCTGGCCGGTTGCGCGCTTGATCGCCACGACGGACTGTGGGATCCGGGCGAACCGTGTCGAGTTTACGACAGCGGGGTGACGATCGCAGTGGTGGGAGTTAGCACGCGACGGCCGGGACCGTCGGTGCGGGTATGAGGATCGATGATTGGAGTCGAGTGAGTGATTGGCCCGGGGCCATATTGGAATTAACGGCGAATGCGCCTTTGTTGTTACGGACCTTTATCTTTGGCGTGAGTGCATGGTGGTCATGTCGAATGTCTCTTTCCCAGATCTGGTCATCACCTATCTCGACTCTCTCTCTCTCTCTCTTTCTCTCTCTCTCTCTCTCTCTCTCTCTCTCTCTCTCTCTCTCTCTCTCTCTCTTTCTCTCTCTCTCCTCTTGAATGACGATGCGTCTGAATGATTGTCCCTCTCTTCAATGGGAATGAGTCGGCATTCTGCGTGAAAGAACTTCTTCCGGAACTCTTCCATTAGTTTCCTGGGTAATCCTCCTACGCAAGGACCCTGTCTTCTTATCTTGTGAACGGTGGATGCGTGTGTACTGAGTAATGCGATCCATCTTTTCCTGTGCATGTCTCATTCTCGCACCTTCCACAGTGAATGCATGTATGGAATGTGTGACTCTTTTGTTGATTAGACGATTGTCGTCGGGATTTTGTTCGAGAATGCAAGAGTGTTAAGGTCTGTAGCTCCGTTTGCACTGCGCATGCCATCTGCCTTATGCTGCACGACATCAGCAGCCGAGCCACGAGGCGGCCTTGAGAAACAAGGCGCCTAGGGACCAACGTTGCGTTGAACTGATCGGACCCGTAGCCATATGCGTGATCAAGCTGATCTTTGTTTGCTCTCTCTCTTGTGTCAAAAAGATTGATTGGGGAACGCGAGAAGCTGATATTTTGTGATTGATTGACATGTGGACTGACATGTACCCTTCGATTGGGCGCCAGCCTCCCGTATCTCCCATCCCAACGCGACCTTTTCCCTACAGTGAGGAAAGGACACGTGTATGTGAGTGGGACGTACGAGAAGCCGTTGCACAAACCGGCGGGCAGTATTACTTCCCTCCGGCCAACCGTTGTTCCGGATTCGTAGAAGCCGGGTTTGTAATTATCGATACGCACTTCCCACTGTACTCGGTATTGTTGCCATTTAACGAGTTGATCGTCATTCCGTGGACGGCAGTAGAACCCCACTGGCCGCGCACTCTATGCGCCGAATGTCAGCGTTTTGAGCGCTACGAGTCCAGGGGTTTCCACTACCGTGTGCGGAGTGAAGACAAGCATAAAGAACGAGCCACGCGGTTGAGACCCTCCACGTCAGACTCGGAACTAACGAGCGAACAAGGACGGGATTTGGTACGAAAACGAGCCAAAGGGCGTGAGGTTTGCGTGTCACAAGGTAATGAGGGGGTGATTCTGGCGTGTCCCAGGACATGTCAGCCTCCGGCCCTTGGAGATTTGGGATTTGCTCCTCAGAGAGCCACCAGCCTATGGTTTTCTTCCAGTTGATCTTCATTTCGGATGCCAGTCTGAAAGCTTCCATTGCCCTGGACAACGCCATAAAGGATGATTTTGAGGCTCTGATCAGTACCGTCATGTCGTCTGCGAACAATATTACTGTCGGGAACCTGAGGTGGTGAGACGTCCCCACGTTGACTTCCGGGAGTCTGTGAATAGATGGGTCTTTCCGCAGGAAGGAAGCGATGGCTTCTATCACAAATAGGAAAATAGACGGGGCGAGTGGGTCCCCTTGTCTCACTGAACGTGATATTGGATAGTTATGAGACAGGAAACTGTTAACTTGTACGCAGCCGGAAGCATCACTGTATAAGACCTGGACCCACTTCCTGAAGACTGGTCACACCCCCATGCGTTCCATACTAGCGTTCATGAATGACCAATGGACCTGATTGTACGCTTTTTCAAAATCGAAAAAGAGAATGGCTGTGTTTATTCTCCTTTCTCTAACTTTGTTAGCTGCTTCGTTTAGGGTCAGCACATTGTCTAGGATGTAGCGTCCTGGGATGAAGCCTGTTTGGTCGATATGGAAGCATTTATCGGTTATCCTCATGATTTTGGAAGCTAAGGTCTTGGCCAGAATTTTGTATGGAAGGGTGAGTAAGGAAATAGGCCTATAATTCCTAATATCCTCTTTGTCTCCCTTCTTATACAATAGTGTGACAACACTGCTGCTGAGAAAGTTGCCAAGACCCCCTTTCTCAAAGCTGTCCCCGTAGAAGTTTAGAACGTCACCCCCTAGGCTCGGCCAGAATTTTTCCCATAATTCCTTTGTTAGTCCATCAATGCCTAGTGCCTTATCATTGTTCATGTTTTTATCTTTTTTTTTTTCTAATTTTATTTTAAACAGAACCTTATGGTTTTGGCTCCTTTTTTATTCTGGGGAGCGTCAGTCCGGTTCCTATTTCCCCGACAAGTCAAAGATATTACAATGGTTACTCACTCACGCTCCTCCCCTTTATGGCGTGGAGGCCCGGAAGACGGCATTGATTACTTCCTTGAAGGAGGATGTACCGATCTTCACCCCTGGCTGTTCTAAGCTGTTACTGTCCTTGGTGGCTATAAATGTGTGCTGCTTGCAACTGCGGGAGATAATGGTCTCTTTCCAGTCTGTTCCGCTCTGTCGATTTGACGTATGGGTTGTCTGTGTTTTTCTAGGATAGTAGGCGTGATGGGCTCCTTTGCTCTACTTCCTGACTCCCTGGGCGCAGTTTTACTTGACAGTGACGTCTAAAGCTAAAACCCTGTACCCCAGCTTGGTGGCA